ACTCTGTTGAGTCACCTTTCTTCAGGATGGGAACAAATATAGATCTCTTCCAGTCAGTTGGCCAAGTGGTTGTTCTCCAGATTTTTTGGCACAACTTGGTGAGCACATCCAGGGCAGCATCTGTTAGCTGAAATATGTCAATTGGTATACCACCTATTTCTGGGGCCTTATTTCTTGCCATTTCCTTCAAAGCAGCCTGACCTTCTTCTTTCATCACAATAGGCTCTTGCTCATATGTTGTTTCATGAAATTCTTCTGTGTCTGCCTATTCCTTTCGATACAGTGATTCAGTATAGTCTTTCCATCTTCTTTTAATATTTCCTGTATCATTTAATATTTTGCCAAAAGTATCCTTGATTATAGCAACTCGAGGTTTGAATTTGTTCTTCAGTTCCTTGAACATACCATAGACTGCCAAAATACCAAATAGGTCTATCTTAGAGAGGGTGAAACCAAGTTTCTCTTCGGAAACTAGAATTTTGCAGCTCCATCTCACATCCTTTGGGCATGTGGCCAGGAAAGAGGACAGGACAGGCTTCAGAGCTGCTGTACATAAGGTCGCTATGGGTCACAGGCAACTCAACGGCAAACAACAACAACAACCAGGGCTGGAAGCATAAGGAAGAAAGAAATGTTTGCTTAGTGAGCACTGAGTTTGTGTTAGAGGTGGTAGAATAATTTACAAAAGAATATAAAATCTAAGGGTACACCTTAAAAAATGTCATTAATGGCACTGACATGTACATGTAGAAATTGTCAAGGTGGTGTGTGTTTTGCTGTATATAATTTCACCACAACTAAAATGAATAGTGAAAATAGCAACCAAAAAATGAACCTTAAGAGTTTTTAAAGAAAAAATTTAGTCAAATAAGTTTATTACCTCAGGATTAAAATTTTTAAGACAAGCCATAAAAATAAAAGATTTAAAATTGTATTAAGAGTACATAGAAAATGCAAAAGAATCTGAAAGGTCAAACAAAATATGAACAGAAGGAAATGGAAAAAAAATCCCTTTTTTACAAAAGGAAATTTTAAGTATAATGCAATAGGACACCCCATCAACAAAAAATAAGTTTCTCATTTCAAAGAGAAATGGGAACTCTCATATACTGCTGATGAGACTAAAATGAGGAAAACTGGGAAATTTCTAGTCAAGTTGAAAATGCTATACCCTATGATCTAGCAACTCAAAGAAACCACATTTATTTATTTATCTATTTACAGAGCTCTGGTGGCTCACAGAAGTTGCGCTGTCATCCCAAAAGACAAATCAGTGGCTTCAAGGCAGGGGGGGGGGGGGGGGGGGGGTGGCAATCTCCTCTTGTGCAATTTACTGCCTCAGAATTCGAATTAAAGTCAGCTATGAGTTGGTTCCAACTTGACAACGAGTGAGTGAGTGATATATTTACTTTGACAGACTGAAAAACTCAGCGGTATAAATGAACAATTATAAATTGTATAAACTGCAACTTAGGCAGCTCTTATACCAAGAGCTTATACACAT